TTTTTTTTTTTTTTTTTTTTTTTTTTTTTTTTTTTTTTTTTTTTTTTTTTTTTTTTTTTTTTTTTTTTTTTTTTTTTTTTTTTTTTTTTTTTTTTTTTTTTTTTTTTTTTTTTTTTTTTTTTTTTTTTTTTTTTTTTTTTTTTTTTTTTTTTTTTTTTTTTTTTTTTTTTTTTTTTTTTTTTTTTTTTTTTTTTTTTTTTTTTTTTTTTTTTTTTTTTTTTTTTTTTTTTTTTTTTTTTTTTTTTTTTTTTTTTTTTTTTTTTTTTTTTTTTTTTTTTTTTTTTTTTTTTTTTTTTTTTTTTTTTTTTTTTTTTTTTTTTTTTTTTTTTTTTTTTTTTTTTTTTTTTTTTTTTTTTTTTTTTTTTTTTTTTTTTTTTTTTTTTTTTTTTTTTTTTTTTTTTTTTTTTTTTTTTTTTTTGAGAAACAGCCTTCCCTCTACCACCCGCTAAAAGGATGGGGAAGGGACAGCTTCCAGTTTGGAACTTTAAATGTAACTTAAATCTGGTTGCAATTTTAAATGAAGACTTAACCTTTACAACTACTCTGTCCTTTCTTTACAGATCTGTACAAGACGAAGGAGGGGGAAGTACGTGAAAGCAGAGGTAAACTATATTTATGATGTGGAAGGCTTAGGAGGCTTTGGCTAGAATCCTGAAACTCCTAACTAGGTTCAGTGTAGGCTAAAAGCTTGCTTCAGATGCTGTAGATGTTTTCAGCTAGTGTCAAAATACTCAAATTCTGTAGCTGGTTTTCATCTCTACATAGTTAACCATGTCTGCTCTGTAGTAGTTTCAAAGACCTCTGGCAACACAGCTTTTGCCCTCCCTCCCAGAACTGGTAAATCCAACTACTGCTCTACCTATCCATAGCAAGGGCTATACTTGATTTGATACAGACAATGAAGTCCCCAGGAAATACTGTATGAAAGTCTTAATCACAAAGAGTTTTAATTGAGAGGATATTTCCATTGAGCTTGCAGCTTCTGTTGAAGAGCTGCTTCCCAATGAGCTAGTAACAAAGGGCACTAGTGTACTGTACTTTGGCCCTGAGCGCAGAGCATTTGTAAAGGAATCCAAAGAGGGTTGCAACTGAACAGTCCCATCTGCTTCCTGTACAGTCTCCAGAGTGCTGTGTAGAAAGCTGAAGTGTTAATGTTGGTCTTGGCATATTCGCTTCTGTTTAGTGCGTTTCCTCAAATCCTTTTTTCTAATAACAATCTGGAGTGTTAAGCTATATCAGCTTTGGGGATCTTAAGAAAGTAACGTTGATCTTCTCCCCTCCTCCAGGTAAAGGAAATGAATGAAATGCATAGAGGACTGAACGCGTAACTGCATTAACTGAAGACAATAAGATTCGAACAAGAAGACGAGAAATACTGGAGGCGTGGATCTTAATTCTGAAAAGATTCCCCCTATAAGGAAGGGGAATGCGTTCGCTTAACGATCGTTAAAACTAACGAAGCCTAGGCTGGCAACCATGCTACTATTGCTATTTGTTTGAAAGTTGAATCTTAAAAGCCTCGCTTTACTCAAGTCAAACGTAACTGTCCATGATTTTATGATGAAACGAGTTGACAATTGCTGTTACTAGGATTTTGGAGCATACATGGTTAAATTTGTAACCCTGTGGGAGGTTTTTTGACAACGTTCTGATTTTTTTTGTAGCCACGTCAAACATAGCAAGACCCTTTGCCTGGCTCATGGCCTGGCTCATGTATAATTGAACGTGGCTTTGTTTTTATGGCTGTCTGTACATATTTGAACTTGCCGTAACTTTTTTATGACTTGAATTAATAAAACTTTGAAACAGACTTCTAGTTCTTCTACTGTGCTGATTTGATGATTATCCGATAAACTGTGATACGTAACAACTTCAGCAACCTGACCATCAGTGAAAACTATCCTAGAAATCCAAGTAATGGACAGTTTGTATTGGCCATCTAATCTCTCTGTAGCCCGATTTCTCCTGAAGTTGTGAAGTGTGCTTTATCTTGCTCCCTGCTTTTAATGTGTGGCACGGGTAAAATGATAAAATGGGTTGTTTATATATTAAAAAATAAACATGCTGTGAATGTAGCAGTTTCAGGAATGCTACATATGTATTTATAATTGGACAGGCCTCTAATCTAAAACATCTCTGGTGGGGCTGGGGGTTGGAAGACTTGGAATCTGAAGAGCTGTTGCCCCATTGCCGTGACTTGCCTAGCTATCCCTTGTGAAGTTGCTGCGCAGCTAGAATCTGTTTCTTCTGTTACTCCTGTTTTGTTCGCCCTCTGCCTCTCACTAGGGAAACTATAGTTCTCTTCCAGAGCTTAGGATAAAATGGCTTGTTTTGGCAGCTAGTAATCTATACTATGTATTAGCTAGCATGTCTAGTCCATCCAGCGTATCTGATTTACAAAGGAAATGCTGTAACTCCTGTTGCCAATGCAATAATGAGATACAAGATAAGGAAGTGAATGACAAATCTTATTGCTAAAGCAGTGTTTTTGTTTAATTTCTCCCCTCTCCCCAAAACAGGAAGAGTAGGATATGCTACATACTATGTTCATAAAATTAAACGCGCTGGTGCTCTGACATTAGGCATGTGCAGAGCCGCTGCAGCCTCCAGGTTTTACCAAATTTCTAGGTGTCCGTAGTGTGTTTTGGGAAGTGGGAGCGTTCACATAAGTTTGCTCTGTCCTGTTGCTGTTCCTGCTAATCACAAGAATCCTGAAACAAGGAATTTGCAGGAGCACGTCGCAGCCTTGCAGGAGGCTAGCAACAGTTGTCAGTCAGTGATACCTTCTGCAGGGCAAGTTGTCTTTGCCAACAGATGCTGCTCCCTTTCTGCCTAGGGTATGCATGCAGTCCGCTGGGGAAGGCTAACTGCATGCAGCTCTGTAAGCTGTTAAGCGAATGAAGTCTAGTTTTCAGTGAGCTTGTCCTCCTCTGAGCCATTTCTATTATTGTCTCTTTTCCCCACAGTTCTTCATTCTTTATACCGTATTTTACTTTCTTCCATGTCTTGGGTTTGGTGTCCTTACCTTTCTTTTTCCATGGATTATAACACTGGAGTTCCCCTCCCCACCCCCAGCTCCCCATTTCATACCTAAATTTTTGGCCTGCAGTGGGGGAAGAGATGTCGTGCTAGGGCTGGGCCGGGGCTGCACATGTGCTGACTTGCCTGGCTGGTATGTACCTGCTGAGTCGCCTGGGAGCTGTTTGAAAACTCTTCCCCCTCCTTTCCCCACAATAGGTGAAGACATTTAGATTTTTTTTTTTTAACTAATTGCTGCTTTTCCTGTTAGACATTTACAACAATTTACTGTGTCGTATATGACCTTCTCCTTTGTCAAATTTGAATGAAACTAGCCAACGGGGTAGAAAAGTTTACAGAAACTACACTGAAAATAGAAGACAGTTTAACAATTGAAGAGATTGTGTTATGTGTCTTTCTAAACTCAGTTACTATGCTGCAAACATCATGCTGCTCAGCTCTGCAAATAGTTATCTTGTGTTCGCAGCTGATTCAATAATAGGTTTCCCCCAGTTTCTTTTTTTTATGTAATTCTGTTGACCTTTGCATTGTTTTTTGTTTTGTTCTGTTTACTAAACATAGCACTTGTGAAACAGTCCAGCTGCATAAATGTGTGTGTGTACAGGGATATGCAGAAGAGTGAGGGGAAAGAGAGTTGAGAAACTAGCACAGGAATCCTGCAGCTTTCTTGTGTTTTGTGTTTCTTTATAGTTTAAGGAGGCTAATGCATTGAATTAAAAAAAAAAAACAAATGAACATCAAATAAAGCGTCATCTCTACTTATGCATATGATGTTTTTTCTCATACATCTTTAGAGGAGTTGTGAACTGCTGCAAAAATCGATTGCTATGGGAAAATATTGAGAGATGAAACATGAAAATATTCTCTGTTCTCTGTATTACTACTTTGAAATACTTCGGCAAAGTTAAAAACCTCGTTTCCTGTAAAAGAAACACACCAAAAGAACTTCATAAAACAGTCTTAGCCATTGCATCAGACTTATGAGAAGGTAAATATTTTAATGCTTCCATTTGTCTAACTCATTACGTTCCTTCAGCAAAGGAATACGTTTTTTAAATCTCTTTAATGTTCCACACGAAGTTTTGATACCGTGTTTTCTCTCTTTCAATGTAAAATAATGTCAGTTGTGATAGAGGATGAGAAAGATAGATTGGAAATTTACTAAATAAATTGAGGATGAATGAATGTGACCTTTATGATAGAGGGCGTGGCCACAGAAACGGTACAAGAAATCCCAGTGGTGATGATTATCTTACTGCATGCATACGACATGAGAAAAGAGTTTGTGTGGGCAAATCTAGCACTTATAAATTATTACACTAACATATATATGTAATGTGTTACTGTATTAACATTATCGCTGAAGGAAACAATTTTTATGCCATTGATTTTTAAAGGTACATTTTAATTAACGTACAAGGGAGTTTTGTGGGGAGATTTTTTTGCTTTTAAAATCCACGTGTGTATGTATAGATATTGTTTTGGAAAAAGAGCAAGTTGTTTCATGTAATAAACATCACACAGCACATAAACATGTGTTGAAAGTGCTGTTCATTTCCTTATAATACTCCTGTGGAATAAACAGATAAATAGTAGTATTCTCATTCTATAGCTGGGAAAGCTGAAATGGAAAAGTGAAATTAGTTACTGAGAACCACAAAAGACTCCTTTTGAAGAGAAGAGCTCGATAACGTATTTGGGAAAGCACGACCAATAAAGTCTATAAAACTTTCTTCTAAATACGTGAGTGCCGTGTAAGTGTAGTTTCCACAGCTACACGATTAAAAGATGGAGTATTGCCTACGTAGAATCTATTGACATTAGCACGCTTGTTCTCATAAACAAATATAACAAATTTGTTAAGACAAATAACGTTGTTTGTGAACCATGTTTATTCACATCTTTACCTACTGGACTTTGGTCATCGTAATATACGGTGACTTTGGATTACAGACGGCTTCAAAGAGCCTGAAAAAAACATTCTAAAGACTAAAAACACTAGCAGCTCCGCTGGCTCGACTTTACAGCTGACATTTGTTGAATTCTAACAACTTCAAGGTGAGACCAAGCTCTAGCACTACAAAGATTGTTATTGGGCACGCAGAAAATCATGCATGTAGTAGGGTGGCTCTTATGTTGGGGATAGTGGGATCCATCGCCACGGGCATTTTATAAACTTGGCTGAAATCTTTCCTTGTCCTTCTGTGTTCACAATGACTTGCAGTGGCAGACACATGGCAGTGAGAGGGTGGCAGGCAAAGAGCAAGTGGTGTGTGATGGTAGAGGTGACACATAACATTGCATATACCAACTTGTTGCAACATGCAACAAGTTCCCTTTTTTTTTTCCTACTAATCCTCAAAAGCATTGCAGAGTCCTCATGCATTCAGGTGCCCATGTAGCAGAGGCATGCAATGTGGTCTGCATGGAAAAAAAAGTGCACAGAAGAAAGTTGTAAGGTCCTCTATAAGTTAACAACTATATTTTCTGTTTTCCAGCATATATCAACTACTCTTATGCCGTTAATACTATCAAGTAATCTTATTAATGTTACTTGGTAATAAATAATCTATACTATTCTTACGTTGTACGATAGCATTTTCTTAAACCTCTGTTACTATATATATGCCCACAAATACACACACAAGCCTACTATGAAATTTTCTGGTGACATCCTCACCAGGTAAAAAGCTTTAGAGCTGCCACTGAATACACTTGAATACTAATTAAGCTCTGGTGAAACAGCATTTCTTTTTCTTTCTTTTTTTTTTCTGTAGAGTGGTTAATGGACATCTATTTTCATGTCTTCATCGAAAAAAACATTTCAACTTTCTGGTGTACGCTAGTTAAGCATAAGGCAGCAACAAAATCAAGGTCTAGCGATTGCATCCATCTTCCTCCTGCCACATGCTTAATAATTACACCGATCTTCTCATTCTCATCACTCCTGGTATGCAAGAGAGAGAGCAGGAAGCCTTCTGTTGGCAGCAATATAACAAAGCAACCCAGCACAGAAACAGGGAAACGCTCTGGGTGCAAAATTACACCTGTGCGGACCAGCCTGGGCACTGAGCTGCCCTAGAAGAACCACATGGGGCAAAGAAAATGGCAGAAACTCAGAGGAAAGGTGATTGATCCAATGACATTTCATACATCAGGTGTCACAACGTATGCATTTTTCATGGGCTGTGGTCACCACACCTAAGAGTATTAGCGGCTGATTTAGGCAGGGGCCTTTCGGTTCAACAGAGCTGCCTTGAGCAAATAGAAGGAAAAAGGGTGTAATCAGCCCAGAGGGGAGAGAATGAAACGCTTTAGCATGCAGCAATTATAACTTACGGGCCGTTAGTTATCTCTCCTGAAGGCGGTAATGAGGTCCCTTGAGCCCACGTAGTCCCCAAGCATTTGTACAAGGACGCTTTTTATTTCTTGCCCTATCTTCTCCCTTATCTATCGGCCTTTCTGTAGTCATTGGTACGTACAAAGAGGGGCAATCCCATCTGTTCACAAAGTACTTTATATGGGTTGGCCTGGTGCTAGCACCTCTTGGTAAGGTTACATGCAATTGTGAGAGCCAGGCTTTTTTCGGAAGCCTATATATTTGCAAAATGCTAATTATTTAGGCTGAATTTTTCATTGCAAGCACTGTCTAAAGCAGAAAACCTAGGGGGAGGGAAATATCAGCCAAGATGTTTTAGCCACTGCTGAAAAATAATAAAAAAGAAAGTGAAGAAAGTTATACTTAACCCAAATTGAAAATGAATCCAATTGCCCTGTCGGAACGGCGCGGTTTCTGCAGCCGCTCAGGGGAGGAGAGGGAGATCTTTGGCTACCGCAAAGCTGCCGAAGCTCTAGCGGCTTCATACTTTGTTTCTTCCTCGGCAGGGTTAAGGAGAGACCCAAGTCGGGGGCTCAGAGCGGCCCCCTGCGAGGAGATGGGTGTCTCTGGGCCCAGAGAGGGGCAGGATGCGGCCTGCCTGCCAGCAGGGTGAGGGGCTCGGCGGGCCCGGCCCTTCTGGCCGCTGGGTTTTGGCCGTTGTGGACGTGGCGTGTCTCTATTTCTGGCGAGTTGTGAGCGGAACCTCAGCTATAACATGGACGTTTTTCAGGGAGGAATGTATTCATGATGCGTCTTTGTTGCAGAAGTGGTTTATTGGGTGGTGGCTTAGTCCTGAGGTGCGGTTCGGAAAGAAGACACCTTTGCGAACTGATAAAAACTGGGCACTTTTGTAAGGGGCTGCTAGCGGCAGCGTAGAGGAGAGAGCCGAGGTTGCCGGCGCAGGGCCATGGGTTTGGTGTGGAAAGTTAAGGCGAGGTGTTTTTTTCCAAGTGAGGAGACCTGGCCTGGCTGGCACCTTCAGCCCCTTTTCTCCTGCCTAGAGGGGCTGCGGAGGGCCATGGCTGACTGAAACGCTCCCTGTTACCATAGCGGGCCACTGCCAGCTCGAAACTCAGAATTCAAGAGAAAGCGTAGCGTTTATAGAGAAAGCTGGTCTTGAGCTATAACTTTAATTAAACAGAGTGAATTCTGCTCTGTCCAAAATGTGTTTTGATAGAGGTGTCACTTTGTGACGCTATGTGGGAAATAAACAAGGTTTATTGCAGGATCAGACTTTGGAAATTATCGAATAATATCACTGCTTATTTTGCTATTGGAATTACAGTTCAGAAAGAACCTGGGGCTTGTCTTAGTTAAACAAAAAAGCAATGAAACAGAACGGTCAACGTTGTAGCGAAAACAGAGTAAAAACTGCCTTTTCACAATCCAGAAGACTTGTTTTATGGAATTCGGTTTCTACTGTTGCACTTTGAGGCTTTACAAGATACAGTGCAGAAAATATCCGTTGTCTCTGGCCAAACAAAAAGAGATCAGATGAGATTTATTTAGTTTTGTTGATATTGAAGCTAAACTACCCTTGTCTGGGAGGAAGAGGGGGAGTCTTGCCACGGGGGGG